TTATTTCCACTCCTTGTATATAGGACCATCATCTGGTATTACTATATTATTAGCAGGTAACTATATTGAATTGGTGCAACTTCGCGAATGTTCAGTAGCGAGGAACTTGTATTGTGAATAACCTAACCAATGATCATGGTAAGATGATGGAACTCTTGCGCGATTTTATCAAATACATATGCTCACTTCTATACTGTGTTACATTCATTGTTAGATGGTTAACGTAGTCTTTATGTAAGCATTAATGATATTCATCCCTGATTAGAAGCTGTATTACATGTGTAATTCGAAGTTAAATTAGTTTTAATAGTGGAATATTTAGCACTAAGCAGAGCTACGAGAAAAAAATGGGTATCCGATGACAAGTTCAATTACTGATGCGACTAGCTGGTTTTTACACCTTCACATTTGTGTATCGTTGATCTGTTATATTTTAATGCTGTCGTTGCTATCAAACGACAGCATTGCAATATCTTTATAGACATTCATTTATTAAATCGGGTCTATCTAAAATATATGTCAAAATAATCCGATAGTCAATTTGCGCCCTCACCGACAGGTTCAGTTTGCGCCTACCGTCGATGATGGCGCTATGGCTCACGGGAAGAACACTACATTATTTAGCGTTGAATGCATGTGCTTCACTACAGAAAACGCCACCCCAAATACAGTTGAGCTCCTTATTTACAAATAAAGTTGGGCAGTTGAGTAGAGATGGGGTACACGGGATAGATTACGTAAACCCACTCACACGCACATGTACGGCAGTCTGTAAACACACACTGTTTTGGAGTTGTTATTTTAGTATAAAACACGTTTGTCAGCCAAGTCTAGACTGTATGTGAACTTCAGGGGAGGTGTTGACACTTGAATCCCTACAGCTTGACTGCCTCAAAAATAGGACCACTTCAACATGTCATGATAGGACAGAAGGATTGTTTTAGAGTCTAAAAAACGTGAATAATTAATAGCTATAATAGCTGATTGAAAAAAACAAACATGTACATTCTAGTCATGGTAGATCATAAATAAAACGATGACAATGATTCGAAAACCACTGTACGTGAACAGAGATATAGCTGAATTATAAACAATAACCGAATTAGGGAAATATAGCATCATTTGTATCTTATGAGAACACACAAATGAATTCGTTACGCTTTTAGCTTTGTTGTATTTGCTTCCAGACTTACAAATTATACAAATTATACCCAAAAAAATGTACATAACGTTGAATTTTGAGATAATTGCAAATAATTTCTAAATACAGAAAAACTATACACATTTAAATATAATTTGTAAAAAAATGTAAACAGAGAAATAAGCAAAATTAAAATATTATGAACATTTAAATGAGTAAATTGTGATTGATTGTGTGAAGAAATTGGTAACATAAGTGTAGAATAACTGGTAACAGCTAATGAAATAGAACATAATAGGGAATTATCTTGCAGTTAATAATATAAGTAAATTATTTAAAGAAGTGCACAGGAAGGAACTAGGCTTTGAAACATTCGAGAGTCACTAAAATGACATTACCTTTTGTGAATATATGGTAAACAAACAAAAATATGAGAATCATGCATTAGAAAGTGTGGGATATGCATACGGATTCTCGGTGATGTTTTTATGATCTTTCTTGAATTCAAAACAAATAGGAATATTGGGGTTGGCCAATCAGTGGCCTATGATATTATGCTCTGGAATTTATAATTCTGTCGGTTTTAGATGCATAGTTCATTCTAATTCGTGAACGCAAAGTGCTTATGGGATGGTCATCTTTACAGAATATCAAAACGTAACCTTTAAAAGTACCCATTTTGACATCCAATATGTATTTTCTGTATTTTTATAGACGAGTAGGGGAATGTGGGATAGCTTTAAACCAGTAACTCATTTTTATTGGCCAGTTCCAAAAGGATTGAGAACACATAATAGTTTGTTTTTTTAGCTTTGTAACAAGATGTCCAAGGAAAGAAACCGTCGTGGTGAACCTTACAAACTTATCCCCAAAACCGTTACCGTTAAACACAGTGTTTGCCCATAATATTTCAATGCTGATCTGAATTCTAAATTCAACATACTAGTATTTCACATTCTAGTTCGAATTAGCGTACTGTATCAAAGTATTAACACATTGCACGATTTCTCATGACAGCATATTCGTGTACAAAGTCAGAGTGAGTCACCCCCCCAAAAAAAAACACCTACGCCAGAATATTACATAGAACTAAATTCTCCCCAAATTCTGAGACAATAACCTATACGGGTTACACCTTTTCCATTTTAAATCAAAGGGTCCTGAAACGTGTATCTAAAATAAATATAAGACTTCATGATTCAGCAGGCCGTTTTGGCCGGTTTATGACAATGGTTATAGTTGTGCTTTCATTAAATATTGCTGCTTTTGTTTACTGAATATGGAAACCGCCTCTTTGTATAATTTCAGGTCCCAATAGTTCCTTCTTTCAATCTCATTTCTTTCAAAGTCTGTGATTTTGGCTTTATGCGGATTCGTGTTAATTTGTACTCCATCTGAAAGCGGGGGTTTGCCGAAGATGTATCCCAGCATGTCTTGCGATAACTTGAACTCATCCACAAGGCCAATAAACGCCATGTTTTTTAAATTGTCCCTAGCAACCAAGTAATGCTTTTCTTCTATGACGGGGACGTTCATAGTGCATCCACAGCAGTCTTCGAAACTTTCATCTATTTCGGGAAAACTTCCAAACTGTAACAATCTAACTAAATAGTTATCAAATTCCTGTACTTGGGTCCCTTTA